GTAATGAGGAATTTTTGATGTCTTTTTAAAGAGGAAACCTCAAGTTATATTTGAATATTGAGATTTACCAGATAAAAAAAACCAAAACTTTGCTAACTCACAGGGAAAATCTCAAAATTTTAAGGTGTTTTTCCTCAAAATTAGTTTTTTTGTTGCTACTGCTCAAAAAAGTGCTTCAAAATTTAGTTTTATGATTATATTTCAGGCAGTTCTTTCAAATGACACATTAATAAGGCTTTTATTCATTATATTTTGACAAAATGCAATTTTTGTTAACATTTTAGTCAAAACACTATATTTACCTATTTCTCCATATAAGACTTTTGGACTTAATCCTTGTTTCGATGTGATGGCTCACATATATACAATGTTTTCTAACTTGGACTCATTTTATTGCAAAAGTCTTATAATAAAGTTTGRAATTGAAGWACTTTAAAACTTCCTCATCTGTTTGATTTGAAGGTCAGCATTTCCGTCTTCGTCAGCTAGGAGTGTGTGAGCCGCCACCACGCCGCGGCCTGCCGTTCTGTTCTGATATTGGCCTTCCCCACCACGGCTTCTCGGTTGGTCCAGCCCAGACCCTGGATGCTGACGGTCAGGCTGTGACATCACCAGAGCGGGCCATGCAGCTGTGGGGTCGAGGAGGTCTGGGGAAATCGTCCGGTCGCAGTTCGTGCCTGTCCAGTCGCTCCAACTCTGTTCTGACTCTGACGGACACGGAGCACGAGAACAAGTCGGACAGCGACAATGGTAGGAGCTCAGCCTGGTTTCTCTCTTTTCTCTACATTACATGGTGTCAGTTATAATCCAACACTACATTTTATATAGTTGATGTTAAAACCTGTTAACATTCAGCGGAACGCCAGCATGCCGTTTTTGTTTCCTTTTATTATGTAATGTCGTTTCTTTGTTTCCGTTCAACCTGTGTCCGTGTTCAATGCATCCAAATGGACATCTAGGCCCTCCTCTTTTGATTGACACCTCATTTGACCAACTGGGTTCAAGTGTCAGCTGTCCAGAGCCAATAATAAATGAGAAGTGTCCAACTTCCGGTTGCCGTCATCCTGGGTTTGATTGACTGTAGAATCGGCCAATCAGCTCTGAGCTTTGTTCTGATGCCACAGCTGTGTAGCCAATCACCATACCTTTTATGTAATGTATATAATGACGGGGTGGGAACTTTGTTTAGTGACGGAGGAAGTAAACACGGAGGAGGTCGCCATATTTAGACAGTCCTGCTACGCTAACGAAGGAAGCTACGCTCACAGGAAAACGTTTTTTTCCCATCATATTTTTGGCCAGTTAGCTGGCGAAACCTGCTGATGAGATGAAAATATATTTGTTATTAAGTGTTTCGAGTGCTTCAAGACATGGAAGAGGGACTTTTGTGGCCAGGAAAAGTATTTTGTTTGGCTAAAAACACTTCCGGTCGGCCATTTTGAGTCGCTAATTTCGTCATATTTGAGGACAAATATGCATCAAATGTGAATGAAAAACAAATATTTTTTGGCTGCTGGTGGTTTTATAAGCTGTGTTGAATGTTAATGCTGTGAAAGAAATAAGGATATACTGTATTTGTTTATTCTTGTGTTTTGGCGGTTTATTGGTGGAAATTCGTCTGAATGTGCTCCAGTTGGTATGAATATTTCTGAACATTAATATATATCTTTTTAATTTAAGCATGCTGTGAGTAAATATGGATGGTAGAATGTGTTTTGTGGGGTTTTATCTTTAATTTGAGCCCAGAGTGAAGTCCCTGTGTTGAAGCTTTTAGAAATTACAGTGTTTTAGACAAACTGTACAGTTTGGACATATTGTACATGTGTACAAATATGCAAATGAGACATGCTGGATTGTATTATGTCTCAAATATTCACATTTTATGCTMCTGTTACCAAATTTGAACTGGTAATAGTTGAGAATTAATATTTTAGCCCAGTAAAAATTATTTATTGATATCTCATTCCCTTCATATTTATTTGAATTATTATTAATAAAAAATTAAAAATTTAGGGAGAAAAATATCTTGATTTTTGTGTATTTTACTTCAATGTACTAAATACTAGTTACAGTTGCAAAGAATATGACTGCTTAAGTTAAAATTTCAGATTATTAGCTTTAAAAAGAGACGAAGCTTGTGAATTTACTCTAAAGGGTTCAAAAGCAGTACTTCATTTAATTTGTGTGTACTTTTTAAGGCGTTTTATGGTATTTCATGCCTGAAGGTTAACAGATCTTAAATAACCGACTGCCACTCTTCCACTGCTGTAACTTTATTGTTCAAAAATCAAATACCTTAAGACTTTTCCAACTACCAACATCATTAAATACAAGTAATAATATAAATAATAAAATAAAATAAAAACCTCAGTAGGATTAAAGCAAAATGAGTGAATATCTGAATATGATTTCCACATCGACTTCCTCAATGTGAAAACGACGTTTGTCATATGGAACATGTAAGACAACCAAATATAAAACACTATAATTAAATAGTTAACCACATGTAGCTGTCTGCTAATGTTTTAGTTTGTTTCTGCTTATGTTGGGTTGCAGAGTGTGTGTACATGCAGGTATATGTCGTCATATGTGTGTAAATGAAGTAAATTAGTTCTCCTGCAGGTCGCTCTAACAGATGTGACTGTTTTCACAATGAGCAGTTTATGGTTTATTGTCTTCATTTAATGAAATACACAATGTTTTCATTCAACCAGACAAACACACACAGTTTCATTAGGAGGAGGAATGTTGTAATTAAGTGCGAGATATAAACTGCTGAGTCACTGTATTTGCTTTTATTAAATTTGATAATGATTTTATTAAATGATTTGATGCAGTGCATGTCAGAGCTCCGGGGAAAATGCTTTGCTTCTCTAAAAATGAGTCGTCGTCAAGTTTTTCAGGGCTAATTGACTTTTTAAAGCACAGCTGCCTTTATGCCCGTGTGTGTATGTGTGTGTGTGTAACTTGGTAATGAGGCCTAACATGGTTTTTATAAAGTTCAGTGAAGCTGGAAGTCTTCCCACCAGCTGCTGCAGTGATTTGTGTAAAACAAGAATGAGAATTTGAGTCGATTTGAACCAATTCACAAATGTTCAGGTGCTTCCTGTGATGACATCAATACTGCAGCCGTAACAAGATGCTGCTCTGACAATACATTTGCATGAATCTGTCATCAGTCTTTGTTTTTTTAAAGGAATTTACTATAAAAAATAGCAGAAATGTATTTTGAAAAAAAGCATAGTTGCATTTTTATACGAAAAATGAATTTCCTTTCTTCCCTTCTTTTGGTGGACAACTAATTTTCTGTTTGCACATCCTGATGTTTAGCAGTAGCGTTTTCTCATAAACACCTAATGTTTCAGAGAACTGCAGCAACACCAAGGGCAGGTAACTGCCATCGTTTAGTTTCAGTAACTACAGAATCATTTTGATTTTGTTGTTTTGTATTGAAGAAAAAGTGTTACATCAAACTGAAATGTAATATATTGTGATTAAAGCCTGAATCATGGAAATAAAATCTGAACTGTATCATGTTTAGGWGCTGTTTTTGTCAGCTCATATCCTTAATTCTATTTAATTCAGTTTATTTATTTAGCACAAATCATCTCAGGRCCTTGTAAAACAGAAAAAGAAAGTACAAATCATAAATACAATTTAAATCCAAATTAAATTCAAACTGCAAGCTGATAAAGGGCCCTCACACACTGGGGTGATCTGGATTGTGCGTCTAGGTTAAGCACTTGCCTGTCTGCCTTGAGATTTTTTAACCAGTAATAAGTATTTTTACATTGCCACTAGGTGGCGCAGTGATGAATTGAAAACATTAGCATTAGCACCACGTTCAGGATTTTAATGTCCGTGTATCATGGAAATTTTTTTACAAAGTTTGAACAAGTTACAGTGAAGTTATCCCTGAAGTCATGTTTGATGTGAAAACAAACTCAAAAAATCTCACACRCCAGTTAGATTAACCAGTAACCATTGATACATTTTATTCACTAGAGTGTGAAGAAGCTTTGGCTCGAATTTGAAGTCTATACTCTCTAAGTTGAGAACAAAATAACAGTTGATGTATGAAGTAAAAAATTGCCTTTTTATTCTAAATGGCCAACTTTCTGTAGGTTTTACGGTCTGGTTTCAAGAGACGTTTTTTGTAGGTCATGAACCGATGCTCAAGTGCACCAAATTTTCTAGGTGTACATTAAAGTATCAGAGGAGCTACAATCAAGGTGGTGCTAGATATCTAATTTGTAACTAGCACATATAGGTCTTTGAGCCTGTCTATATTTACACAAGTTGTAAATATGGACCAAGTTTTGAGAAGCTCCGCCTCTACAACATAGTTAAAATGGCAGCTATTCACTTTGTGGGACATCTTCAAAGTCGCCAAGGTGCCCTGGCCACGCACTTTGGACATTTTTTTGGGCTTTAAAAATAATTTGCTCCAAATGTCCTCTGTTGCCTTCTTTTTGTCGATTTAATGTGAGTTACATTATTAACATCATTTAATCAATATATACCCTCCTCTGGACATGTTCAAACCATTTCAGTTTGGCCGTTCTAACATTATCTTCCATTTTCTCATCTGTAATAAACTTCTGATAATCTCATTCCTAATCTCCATCTTTTTTCTCACGAGTAGAAGCTTAACATCTTCAGCTCTGACACTTCAATTTCTTTCTAAACATTTTCATCTTTGCCGCCTCCATTCCTCTCTCTGACTTTTTTCTGTCAATGCCACTTTACATACGACTCTTTCATATATATATTTTTTACCTTAAATGTTTACTGTAATTTTCTAATTATAACTCCTTGGATGTTTCTTTCTCCACTCCATCTTGGCTGGGACTTTTTTCACCTTTTACCACACTTTCCATCTTCCTTTACTTGTAGCCTAACTGTCCTAGGTGCCTATCTTTAATTATCTCTACATTTACATGAATAGTTGACCCTAAGTACTTGAGATCCTATAACTTTGTGCCCTGTGCTTTTTGTTGTCTCTCTGCGACCCTGTCACAGATCATTTTACAGCACTGCCAGTCAGACAACTCACTTTGTCATACCAGGACAGCTGAAAAGACCTGTTACTTTTCCCCACCTTTTGTACCAAATTAATCTGAGGAGTTGATCAGCCCTGCTGTTTAATTCTAAGTTTTTCTCTGTGGACAAGACTGTAATGGCTTCACCAAAATCCGGTCCACAACATTCAAACTGTGAGGCTAGAGTGAAGTGTGTCCACCTGTGAGTGCTTTGTGACGGTGAAGGGGCTCAGCAGCACCTGCTGGACAGGAACTGCGATAGAAGTCAGAAAGAGTGATAGACATCAGAAAGAATGATAGACGTTAGAGTGATAGACGTTAGAAAGAGTGACAGATGTCAGAAAAAAGTGACAAAAGTTAGAAAGAGTGATAGACGTCAGAAAGAATGATAGATGTCAGAAAGAGTGATAGACATTAGAAAGAGTGATAGACGTTAGAAAGAGTGATAGNAGAAAGAGTGATAGACATTAGAAAGAGTGATAGACGTTAGAAAGAGTGATAGACGTTAGAAAGAGTGATAGAAGTCAAAGAGTGATAGAAGTCAAAGAGTGATAGACGTCAGAAAGAGTGATAGACGTCAGAAAGAATGATAGACGTCAGAAAGAGTGATAGATGTTAGAGTGATAGACGTTAGAAAGAGTGACAGATGTCAGAAAAAGTGACAGAAGTTAGAAAGAGTGATAGACATCAGAAAGAATGATAGATGTC